ACCTTCAACTTTATCTATGCCACATTTTACCTAACCATGAAAAGCTGTATTCACTTTTTAAAAGTCTAAATAGTGGTGTTTTTGATGTGACATGAAAGATTTGGTGGTATAAATGACAAAATAAAGTTTATGTGTTAGATATGTAAATATATAGAAAGTGAGTGGTATGTATAAATCTCCGAGATTTACATACATACCACAAAATCCCTACGTGTTTACACACGCACACATAAATAAAATATATATATATGCCACATTCCAAAGCATGAAGAGAGTTATTTCATTTTTTAAAAGTCAAAATAGCAGCGTCTCCAAAGCATGAAAAGAATTATTTCATTTTTTAAAAGTCAAAATAGCAGCGTCTCTGAAGTGATGTGAAAGTTTTAGTTGGTATAAATTCGAAGATAAAGTTTAGATGTTCGACATGTAAATACATAGGAAGTGAGTGGTTTGTATAAAAATGCCCCAGATTTGCAAACATCCCACTCGATTCCTATGCATCTAATACCTAAACTTCAATTTTATACATGCCACATTACCCAAGCACGACAAGGGGAATCTCTCTTTTTTGAGGCCAAAATAGTGGATATGAATGGGTTTGGAAGATTTTGGGGGTTATAAATGTAAAAGGTAAAGTTTTGGTGTTAGATATGTAAATACATAGGAATTGAGTGGTATGTATGTAAATGCCCCCTACTTTTTCACCGAAATAATGATCTAAATCAGCTTGGCATAACTTACTGGTTTTGGTTCGTTATCAATTTCTTTGTAGTTGTTCATGGCCCCAATGGTTCACCAACATCAACATCTGAATATGAACATTCATCGATACCTGCAACGGTGAAGAAAATATTTGATCTGTCATCACCATACCTTACAAACAGAGACGCATGGGCTGGAACTTTTGAGAGCATTGTACAGAGGAGAACTGAGCCTAGAACTGATTGCCCAAGTGAGTTCTCTCCTTTTTTTTGCTTTTTTGGGAAGACTTAATTTTGCGTGATTATAAAAATTTCATATGCAGTATACATACCTGAATGACGGTTATAAGTTTTTAGGTTTCTTTGTTTCTGCTTTTCATCGATTATGTGGATCCATGATTTATCTAGATTGATGAGGTAACTAGTCAAATTCCCAATCTTCGATGAAGATATTTCTGCTGCATCTGTGATTTCTAAGGATATATTTGGATGAAAGAAAATTGTGAGGAGTATAAAAGCTGAACCCAATTGTTGCCGAGGGCGGCAGCATGGTTGTCAAAAATTGACTTGACACATCAACTCGATCCAAACCCGACTCAAAAAATCTGAATTTTGGTCGACCCGATTATTTTTGGGTTGGGTTCGAGTCTAAAATCTCAAAAAGATTAATGTTTTGGGTAGGATTCAATCTGAAACTGACCGGCCAAACCTCAAATTGACTTTTTAACCGGAATGTGGCCTAAACATGACTCGAAATTAACTGAAATTTAATGCAAATAATTGTGATGCATATATTAGATGGGTTATGCGAGTCAGATTCAGATTAGTCAGGTTTGAAAACGTCATGTTCTTGTGAGACTTTTTGATCTATTTAATATTTGGGTTGGGTTCGGCTCAAACAATTTGAGTCGGGTCATTTTTGGGACAGACCCCAACTAGATATGGGAACTCAGTTTGCACCCAATTTAAAGCATGCATTACTTGAATTTTGTTTCATTTTCTTCAGTTATCTTCCATCTTAAGACTGCAGTTTTAATTTATTACAGGGTTCTTTTTAAAAGGAAAGTTATATACATTTTACCCAATTCTTATGTGTGTGTGTGTGTGTGTGTGTGTGTGTGTGTGTGTGTGTGTGTGTGAATCTAATATTTGATATGTTTATTTAGAAAACCTTGGTGTTAAAACTGGATGTATGAAAAAATGGATATTATTTTTTTTTGAATTAATGATAGTGATATTTTTTATGTGATGTCAAAGATTTGAGTGTTGTATATATATTTAAATTGTATATATATCTTAAGGTGTCAGATTTGTAAATATATCAAAATTGTGTGGCATGCGCGTAAATACCACTATTTAAAAGCAAAATTAATTTGATGAAATAAAACTGGTTCGTAATTTGCTTTGTTATAATCCAACGCAAATGTGGTTGAATGGTTTTATTTTTAACTCAATCCTTTATATAATTTTAAAGTCTGTTTTTAAAGCATATTGTTTAAATTGTGGAGTCTAATTTTCGAAAAAAATATTATATCATGTGCGGAATCCAATGAAATTATGCCAGTAACACAAGTGAATATTCCCTTCGTGTTATTCAGGTGTTATTGTGTTTTGGGAATAGTGTTATAATAACACAGTAACACATCAATAATACATGAATAACACACAATAACACCTAAACAACACACAATAATATCTAAATAACGAATATTATCTTGTGTTACCGGGTAGATTTTTTTTTCTACATGGCGTGATTTCATTGAACTACGCACGTAACTCTAAGTGCAGAGTCCTCATACAATATTTTTTCCTAATTTTCAGCCTAGAAAGATAAAACATAATACTCAGATTTTATCGTAGCTCAATTTTTCGA